GTGCGGGGGCTCCGGGGCTCGCTCCCGCGTGGGGCTGGGCTGTGATCCCGGCACTCTCCCCAGCCGGGACTCGAGCGTCCCAGCCTTCCCACGGCCCTGCGCACGCCCAGCGCGGAGAAACCCACAGTCTGCTTTCATTCTGTCTCTGTCCCCCCCCCCCCGTCACACAGACCCCGAGCAGCCGGGGCTCACACACAAGCAGTCCAGGTGTAAGGTGCACACACACAAACACACAGAATTCAGGTGCCTGGGAAACACACACGCGCGCACACACACACACACACGCACGCGCGCGCGCGCGTCTTGGAAACACAGACACAAGGTGTCAAAGGCAATGACCCCCCCCGGTGTCTGGGAAACACATACACACAACCCATGTGTCTCACACTCACTCACCCCCCCCCTCCCCCCGCCTTGAACCCAGGTGTCCAGGAACCACACACACACAAAACCCACTTCTCTCGCTCTCTGTCTTTCTGTCTGTCTCTCTCTCTCTCACACACACACACGCACACACACACCCCCCCCCCCCTAGTTGTCTTGGAAACAGACACAAACACAGAATCCATGTGTCAGACACAAACACACACATACACATCCTTTCAAACACCAGGTGACCAGGGTATGGACCCCCCCCCGGGGAAACACACGCACACAACCCATCTCTCTCTCTCTCTCTCTCTCACACACACACACACACACACACTCTCAGAACCCAGGTGTCTATAACACATGCAAGCGCTAACATGCACACTCACCCACCCACACAGAACCCATGTCTTGGACTCACCCTCCCCCCCAGCCATCTCTCTCTCTCTCTCTCTCTCTCACACACACACACACACACACCCTTCACGCCTCTCCCTTGAACACCCTCCTCCCCAGGCTCATCAGACCCCAAGGCTGCGGCTCCACCCCAGACCAGTTGCCCAGTCCATGCCAACTGGACTTCACTGGGACATTGGGTCCCTACCCTGCTTTCTCGGAGAAGTGACAGTACAGTAAAAGCCCACCCCTTCCTTCCTGTTGGCCGAGCCCCAGCTGGCCTATCATCACAGGCACTTCCATTTGTGCCCAATAGATGGCAGCGCCATACACAAAATACCCGATTCTTTCTCAAAAGGGTTTGTTTCGCTGTCCCCTGGGTCCCCACCCCCCTTAGACCCAACACTCTTTGTCCCACCCCCAGCACCAATCATTAGACCAAAGAGTCCTCATTAGACCCAAGACAGCCCTCATTAGTTTCAAGAAAACCTCATTAAACTCAAGGCATCCCTCGTTAGATCCAAGTCCTCCTGGTTGGAGTCAAAGGCCCCTTACTAGACCTAAGGACCCTTTGTGGGACCCAGGCCCCTCTCGTTAGACTCAAAGCCCTTTCATTAGACTTAAGGACCCGCTTGTCAGACCTAAACCCCCATTAGGTCTAAGACCCCATCGTTAGACCCAGGAAACCCCTTCATCAGACCGAGGACACCCCTTGGCCAAGACCTCATTAGACTCCAGGCCCCTCATTAGACTCAAGGCCCCCTTGTTAGACTCAGGGTAGCTTTATTAGACATAACTCCCCACTTTGTTAGACCCAAGACAACTCTTGTTACGCCCAAGCCCCTCGCATTAGACACAACACACACCTTGTTAGATTCCCAAGACAGCCCTGGTAACAAGCAAACCCCCTTATTAAGACTGTCACCACCTCATGATCCTGGCTCCACCGGCCGGTCCTGCTCCTGGATGCTGTTCCCTGCCCCCCTGCAGTCCCATCCCCTCCGCCTGGCCCAGCGTCCTGCCCATGGGGGTCCTGTGCCAATATCCATGCAGACCCCACTTGCCTCTGCCAGTGGGTATGAGGCGATGGGCCCAGGGCCAAATGAGATCAATTGGCATCTCGCTGGGACTTGCCCCCCCCCAGATTTAAGGTTCATTAATTTTATTGGTAGAAAGGGAGGACAGGAACAGGGAGATAACAATCTGAGGGGAAAAACAATCTGGGGCTGCAATTCAGGAGGTGCCACACACATGTACCCACCCACATGTGGTTGGCATGCAGCTGTCACGACCCAGTGATTTTTGGTGCCTTGGCACTATGGAATTTCCTGGGCACATGAGAGCTCCTTTGCACGGCAGAGTGTTCTGCTGCAATTGAGAACCCGCGTGTAGGAGAAAGTCCTTGCCAATTTGCAGTTTCCTTTGCAGGATGCATTTCTTCTTTGCAGCACAGAAATGCACGGTGCAAAGAGTCCCCGCCATTCGAATGTAAATTTGTGCCCCGCTATTGGCCAGCGCTAAATTATTCACACGTGGCGGCTAGTAATTGGCTCGCTGGCCGTTTAAGATTTCGCGCAACTTCCGCCCAAGTCGAAGAGCTTTGAGCACGCTGCAGAGTGCCTCTGAAGTTATCTGACTTGCGGCTGCCGATCGATAGACTGATCACCTATCGATTTTTCTTCCCGTCACCGAGCGCAACCCCGATGTACCCCTTTCCCCGCCGGCTTCGAATTGCGGACGGATTCACTGGCTTGGGCCCCGCCAGCTGGAACAACTCGTGTGGTTGTTCAGACGACCGGACCACCTGCGTCGTGATTGCAAGCGGCGGGAGTAAAGTTTTTTGCAACCAATAAGTTGTGTCTGCCTCTCCATTCCCCAGCCCGCCCTAACGTACGACCAATTTCTCACGCAACTCGAGTCGGCTCTGGCCGTCCGAGACAGCAGCCAGGCAGGGCAGTGGGAGCAGCTGCGGCAGCTACAGGCAGGTAAGTCTGTGGCGGGTGGGGCTTTGAGGGCCAGGGCTGGGGGAGGTGCCATCAGGGTTGGGGGCCGAGCTCTGGTGAGATCAAATTGGCACTGCGCCACTGGTGGGCCCTGGTGATGGCACAGAGGAGGGCTGGGTATGCCAGAAGTAGGTGCATGGCCCTGATGGCATGGGGAGGGGCAGTATTGGGTACTCCAGAGGTTGGTCCATGGCCCTGATGGCACAGGGCTGGTTGGGGTTAAAACGGGCCAAGCTCTGGTAAGTCCAGACCAGGCCTGAGCCATTGGGGCAGAGGCCAAGCTATGGCAGCTCATGAGGGGTGGACACGTGCTATGAAAGCTGCAGAGTCCCCTGCCACCCACAGCCACTGGGGCACATGTGCCCCTCATGCATACCCCCACCACCTGACAAAGACCCACCCACCCTACACAGCCATATAACCACCCCAACACACATCCCCTGCCCCACACGCCCACCCTCTATGACACACACCTTCTGCTACATACATGTAACCCCAACCCACACGTCCATCCTTTGTCACAGCCCCCCTCTTCCTCACAGACCCATGTCCT